TCTTCCTGAATAAGAGCTAAAGAATGAAAGTGAGTTTTCAGCTGGCTCGAGCGTGCTGGCCTGTTTAACACATGTAGGTAGCTCATTCCAGAGCCTCGGCCCCAGCAGCACCAGGTACGTCAGCTCTATTTTGTCTAAGCGCCAACAGAGCGGCCTCCAGGCTGAAGTTGCAAGTGTGATATTGTGGCTGCAGAGGGCAACAGGGGCTGGGCAGCCTTCAGTAACCCCGTTAAGAGTCATTTTAGCAGATTACGGCTCAAGAAAATGATTTAAAATATGAAAAAGTTGCAAAGTATGGCTTTAACAGAGCAGACATGTTCCTGCATCAGTACAAGAGCGTTCTATCAGAGTTTTATAAATGATGATGAAAGAAAAAAACACAACATAAGGCTGAGTGAAATTCCCTTGCAAAGCAGCCCTTACAGCACTAGAAAAACAAATAAATAAAAGTCTGCAAACCAAACACATTTAACTCTTCCCCAAGCTATAACACTCAGGACGAGCCATTAGTAGGTATTGGTAGCTGTTACTAAATAATAATCCCAGTTTATTTGATGCTTGTTGGGAATTTTTCTGAATCAAATCAAGTCAACAAACACAAAGACACATGAGCTGTGCTGCTTCTCGGCCTCTGAACTATTGGCAGACTTTAGAGGAGTGTTGTAATCAAAAAGCAGAACCGAAGGAACAAAATGGAAATTATTTCTGACATTTCCGTACGACTGAAATCCAAAGGGCAAACTAATAGATGCTTCATTCATGTGGGAATAAAAGAGCAGAAACAGGAGAAACAAGGCGGCGTCCGCTCAGTCTGGTTTACGGATGATTTCCAAAGACTTTTATGTTTTACACATTTTGTCACAACCAAAACAAAAATATTTTACAGTGCATTCCAGCTTTAAAACAGTACAAACGAATATATAAGTAACACACACACACACACAGAGACAGAAACACACCCTTACAGTGAAAAGGGAAGAATTTGAAGCTTTCATCTGATCCATTTCTGATTCATTGCCTCTCCTTACATCTTCAACCTTTTCTTCCTTTCTTGTTTTAATTAGAATGTTTTGGTTTTGGCCTTGAAGCCCTGACCCTAACCCATTATTGGAGAAAGCATCAAATACAGACACTGGTTTTCCACATCGTCCAGGTCAGAAAAACATAAAAACACGTCACTAACACAAATATTTAGTATCTTAAGAACTTGTGAGCAACAAAAGAAACGCCTGACATCTATTTTCAACTGGTGATTTTCTTTTATTCGGATTATTAGATTAGCAGATTAATGGGTAGGGTCATTTCTAGAGTCCCATTGTAGGCATTTAAAAAACTGGCATTCATTATGGATCTCTTGTCAAAAAATCCTCTTAAAACTGCAAAGAAGAAACATTCTAGAAGAAGAAAAGAAGAAAATATAATTTCTATAGCGCCTCTCAAGATGAAAATCACGAGGCGCTTCACAAAAACAAAAAATGTAAAAATATTTAAAAGAATTTAGAAAATGATTAAAAATATATTTTAAATGTGCAAAAATAGACATTTGTGATTACAAAATTGTAAAGAAAGAGAGAGAGCGAATAGGAAAGAGGGAAATCAGTGGATCCTGAGGAAGGTGGAATAGGTAGGGAGAGGGTGATGAAGGTCACACCAAAACCAGCTTGAACAGGTGAGTTTTCAGCTGCTTCTTAAAGGAGACCACTGAGTCCACTGATCTCAGGCTCAGGGGGAGAGATTTCCAGGGTCTGGGGGCCACAGCAGCAAAATTGTGTAATATTCTAGCCCGGCAAACCAGACAGAACCCAGTCATGGGGTGGAACAGCTACTGGACAGCGCTAGGACCAATCAGATACATATTCATCGCTACGGATATCAGTCAATGGGGCGGTCCACCATAAACCGTTGAAGAAGACGGAAAAGTAAACACATTATTTTATGAACTAAATAACTTCAGTACCTCAAGCTGCTCATGTGTCAAGGAACGGCTCAAGTCCAAATCGTCCAAAGTCGATGTCATAGATGTTTCAAACGAGCGCAGTTCCTGAGCTGCCTCCATCTTTGTAGTTTTGCTCTGGAGCTCAGCCTGCCCTATATCTTTCTATGAACATAGAGTGCTGTGATTGGCTAGATGGTCGGCCTGCTGAGCCAACAACCGAGCGTGGCTAGACCGACCTGTGGAGCTAAATCTTTTGGTACGGCTACGGTTTTTCAAGATTTCTAGAATAGAAACATTCATCATGCATCAAAAATGTCAAATTTCAGTTACTGTTACCAGAGCTGACACTGGACCATCAATACTTAATTACATTATATATATATATATATATATATATATATATATATATATATATATATATATATATATATATATATTGGTTAATGTCCTTATTTTAAAATAAAAAATCTATCTCAACCAACATGATAACAAAAAAATAATAAATGTCTCATATTATCGGCTGAAGTTTGCATTGGGATGTAAAATAGGAAATTATTGGTTTAT